TAAGTAGGAGCCATATTAGGAATATATTAAAGGAGTATATTAAATGTTATAGAGTATATTAAAAAGGAGTATATTAAATGTTATAGAGGGAGAAATTTATTAATTATTGGAAGATGATTACTCGGTAAACGGTTAGTATCACTTTGCTTATTGAGCCCGCAAATATATATATATATATATTATATATATATTACTAATCTTTTATAACAAGAGGGGTTTATATCTAGAACGCTCACATCGTTTGAGTTTATAATTTTCATTTATTCTATTGTATGTTCAAAAATTACCGATACTCAGTTATCTGTTTTTTAATATCCGAAATGCTCTTTGATCCTCGTTTTTAATATTTGTTTTGTCTGATCAACATAAGCTTCACAGTCTTGATAGCTTATTTTATATATACCACTTCACAACATAATATTAATTCAATGTTATTTTTTTGCCAGTTTTTATAAAATTATTTAGAGAATTAATAGATTCGAAAGCCACACTCATTTTATATTTATTAAATAGAATTGTAAATTTATCAGAAATATTTTTCAAATAAGGAACGGTAAAATATTTTTATTAACTGTTTTTTCTAATTCATTTAAAAAGCTTTTTTCAGTATATGCATTGATGTTAATGCGATTGTTGATCGTAGAAAATATGAATTCACAATGGATAATTTTCAAGCAAAGTGTTAATCATTAATGTATTATAGATATAATAAGATTTTTCTGAAAATCAGGATGTGACAAAAAAAAGTTCTTTTTAAGAACTTGTAATTAACATTTTAACTATCAAACATTCAAACTATCTGTTAATTACATTTTTTAAATAATCGTAATTAACGGATGGTTTGAATGAAATTTTAAATATCTCCCTAAGTTTGTGGGTTTTTTGTACAAATCAAATTTAATTCTTCCACCATCAATCACATCAAGGAAACTAATACTTTCATTATCACTAACTTCCAAGATAAATTCTAATCTGTAATATGAGTTAAAATGTTCTCATCTAATCTATGACGATACGCTTTTCTCGCTGGAATTCGCTCACTGGAACCAAGGTTCGAAAAAACATAAGACATCAAGTCGATTTACAAAAAAATATCTTTATTGATATCACACTCGTTAATTGACAAATGATTGTTACATAGGATCTATCTACCGCCGTTTGCTGAAATGCGAGGGGTAGGAGAGAATGAGGATCCTTGGACAGTCGGGAGGATTGAACACTACCTTTTAAATCTTCCCACGTAAAGTTTAGGAAAATGCCACTGTGACGGTTTGTAACCATCACGATGGCAACACTGATGAGTGAACATCAACAGTGCAAAGCGTGATCACGTTTGTGTATCTGTGCTGTTTTATGATTTGAATATTGAAAAGTAGATATTATGTGTTTGTTTTTGTTTAATTCCGTTATTATTACTTTGCATTTACTTACTTTGTAAAATTATATTGTCACAATAAAAGATGAGTGTTTTACGTGAGTTAATTTTCGGGCGTGCTTCTTTAAATTAAAAAACTTGAACGATTATTTATTTAACAATATAGTGGTTGGGAGCCTTGGACACTAGTTGGTTAGGCAGATTAGGGACATACCCAAACCTAGGTTTGTTCGCGTTGTTTGCACTTTTTGCACTCAATATTTTTGCTTTCTTTTCTTCAACGTCCGAATATGTACTTATCTTATTTTAAATACATAAGTTTTGAAGATTTCAAGCAATGCGAACTAGAACCTCTAGGTTTAACGTGGCTCTTATGTTTCAGTCACTATCATATTTTTTTGTTTTTATTCATAAGATTACCATGCCATTTAAATATAAAAAAAAATATAAATCGCCGTAATATATCTGTAGATATTATACGAAAAGTGTTCAAGCCTCTCGCACGTAGGGAGGGATGAGCATTTTTTCTACTTTTTATTTTTGCTTATTATTTTCCACGATGGTCTAGCTTTGGCCTAAACTTTGAATGCAAAAAAAAACATTTACATTTAAAATAAGATAAGTATATATTCGGGCATTGAAGAAAAGAAAGCAATAATATTGAGTGCAAAAACCTATAGTTAAGAATATAAGTTATTTAAAATATAATCTTGGTTGCTATTTTCTTTATAAATATGCACTTTATTTAAGATTTTTCTGAAAAGTGTCCGGAAGATGCGTAAGTACCACGCTACTGCCAAGAGTGCGTACTAAGCGGGTGTTGTAATACAAATGAGTCGTCAATATGTACAAAGTATACAAGCGGATCGCATACAAGTAGATCGCGGATGTACAGGCGGTTACAAAGCGGGTCGCAGATACTGATCGTTACAGACAGATCGTGGATATGTACAGACGGTTTCAGGCGGATTGCAAACAAGTCCAACGGAAGTACTCGATTTGAAGGCGGTGGCAGGAAGAACGGGTACCAGTCGGAAGCGCCCGACTGGCGAGTTGTACACCGGGAGCACTCGGCTGCGTACGGGAGCATCCGTACGCGGTACGGAAGATCGGAAGCTCGTGCACTGGGAGCACCCAGCTGTGAATGAAAGCACCCGTTCAATGCACGACGGATTCTTGGAAGCACCCGAGCTAGAAAGAGCGATCTCAAGGAGCAGTCTTGACACGATCAAGGATTTAGACAGGACTGCCTCCTGAGCATTGCTCAATTCGGAATTTGTACCTCTAACCGGTGGGTGCTCGGTGGAATATTCAGGAATTTCGGAATAGAGAGGGAATCTCTCTTACTAATCTCTGCATCGCATGCGTGATTATACGCGTACGCAAGTTGAGAACCCCGAGAACCCGAGAATCCGCGAGAGATAGCCCAAGTCTCATAAGATCATCGTTTATATAGGGATATTGTTAGAGCCGGGAGTTCGAGAGTTGACTGGTCGAGTTTGGATTGGTCGAATTGGGATTCTTTTTGATAGTAGGGTTAGATTTTTAGTTTTCTAGTGTTTGTTGATAATTAGTTATTGGAGAGTTACCGGGACCTCTTTGGTTTTTGTTTTAAGATTAGTTAAGATTTGAAGTGCGCGAGGAGGAAGAGAAGAAAAGGCGTATTCGGCGGAATCTGTGTAACGTAGACAAGTGTCATTCTTAATTTTATGATGTCTTTCCTTAAGTTATTATATATGCAGAGGATGCGTTGACAGATGTACACGTGCAGTATTAATGCGGGATAAATGAATGTCTCTTCCTCGAGTGTTGCTTGTTGCTTCTTAATTTTATTATCGATCGGAATCAGTCTGCGACTTGACCATTAGAAAATATCTTGGCGCCAGCGGTGTCCTTTTAGTAGCTATTATAATCTCTTTAATCGTGGCGTCTGAGGAAGAGATTTCGACATTTTTACTGTGCATGTGTGTTGTTTTTTTTTTATTTTTCTTTGAATGACAGTTGATGGTAAAAGAGCAGATATATTTGATTCTTTACTTAAAAGGGAAGATTTTATTACTATTTAAGTTTTTTCTCGTGGATTTTAATTCAGTTCTCATAACAATTATTAGAAGTTCAACGAACTTTAGTTCTTCATGAAAGAAAGAATCGTGGGAGTCCTCTGGATATAACAATTATAAAAACTGATTTTTTTTAAATTATATATTTTACTAATTTTCCTTTCTTTATTTCTGTCTATTCAGAGACTTCAATAAAAAAGTAGATAATATAAAGATACATTATTATTATTATTTAATTGAGTCATTTCGAGTTTTGATTACATTGTTACATCGCTCAGTATACTTCATCATTATGTTGTTTTTATGAGAGTTAAAAATTATCAAATGCGAAAAAATCGCTGGTATGTCCAAATTTATATCACGAAAATTACTTAAAAATCTAAATATCATAACGTATCATAAATATCAGTTATGCCGTTGAGCAATGTAGACTATATGGACAAAATAAAGTCGCGCATTTTTTTTCCTATTTTATTTATTTCCCTTGAATTGTTTATTTTATAAGAAGGTGACGAAATCAATAATGCAATTGACATAGAAAAGATTAATTGAAATATTAAATCATATTTTTAATTTTTAATTTATATCTTGAATCTAAAATTCAAGAGTGAATTCATTTTCATTTAGCACGTAACGTTTTATGAATGAGATATCGAAATTTTATATGATTTAAGCTCTCGTACGAATATTCACGCAACGTTAGCTTTTTAATTGGTAACTTTAATTGGTTTTGCATCGCTACTCGAGTGCAGTACAACATTTGAGGCAGTCAGCATCAGAAAGGCTGGGGTAATTTGTCTTTCTCGACTAAATAATAATTAGAATAATAATTCGCAACTCGACCTTGCTGTAGCCTCCCATTGGGAAGTTTTCCAGGGAATTCTCTCTGGTCATCATCCCATAAAGCTAGTCCTCGATCTTGCTATCGGAGACATGCAAAACTTCCGAAAACTCTGTTCGCATTAAAATAACTTGCGCTGCCTTTTCCCAAAGTACTGTACTATTAATTTCTTTTATTATACATTCTAAAACTTCTTAGTAAAAAGGAAATGACACGTTATAATCTTTCACAAGTGATTGCGTCAAACTTTTCATCCTTTCCAGTCTTTTTACTTGCTATTTACTTCATTCTTTAGATGAAAAAAATTTTGTCAAATGAGTTTAAGTGTTGACATGTGTTTATATGTGTGTACATATATATGAAATAATTTAATACGAATATATTAGATGCAAATTATTATTATTATTACGATTTAGTCAGAAATGGGATATTACAAGGTACAAATCTCTTATAGAAAATCTTTTGCCTAGTTAAATTAGCTCGTTCCACTTTTATAACAAATAAATTTGCAAAAAAGTAATATAATAGATACATCTCCGTAATATAATAACTGAAAATATTTAGCTTGTTAATATTGCTGACATGACTGCCGTTTCCTGCTAGCATATAAAGAAAGATGACTTCGATATTTTAATAGCAAGTTAGTAATAGAGTATTTCATCATGAAAGAAGAAGATAACAAACCCGGATCTGAACATTTATTGTAAGTCGTTTTTCAAAAAACATGACGGTGAATACAGTATCGAAACTCGAAGTGTTAGGATTTCGGGTTTTCGCCAAGACGTCGCATGTCACATTGGTATATGTCAGTGTGTACGGACTTCCGGTCAGTACGAAGTCTTTGACCGGAATTGACGGCTGCCCTCTTCCGGTTGAGCAGCCAGCCAACTACTCTCCTACTTCACTCTCAAGTGCACCAACTCCAAAGTTCCTCGAAGAGTCGTCACGGACATTCCGGCATCACTTTTCTTTTCTTTTTAGCACCTTCGATTTTCTTCCCACGCCAACAAGCAACATTAAACGTGTGTTCCGCTTATAACGTCAAAGACAGTATTGTGAACGATCGTTTTATTACAATAGCGATAATATCTTCATTATTACATCTTTTTTTGTTTTAATTATTGTATATCAATTTACTAAAAATATTTCATTACGTTTATATTTGAATACGAATTATATTATAATATCTAATATTTATTGAGAATTTTTAATTTAATAGCTAACGTAATAAAATGCTTAAACAACAAAATAAAAAAATGAAAAATAATATCCAATCATTATTTTGGGAAGGTTCATATATAACATACCGCGCACAAAATGTTCGAAAGTTATGGCTGATCTGTCATTATTTGATAACGTTATTTGATAACCTGCGTTTAATCCTACTATTTTATTTTGTGATAAAAACTTCGTATGGTTTCGTATTCACGAGCTTAACGAAACGTCCTTTGACGAGTACCAAAAACGTTGACGTTATTTATTAAAACGAAAGTCAGGAGTGTGACGTTTGTCAACTGGATGGGGTAAATTTTTTCCGCTGCTCGTCAAACGATTCACGTGATGCTATTTAAATTTTGGCGCATGATGATGTGCACTCCCCCCCCCTCTCTTGCATTGTATAAATACAAATACCTTGCGGTTTTTGCGGTTGTACGCAAAGTGCGAAAGAATATGAAGGATTATCCAGCGGCATCGGTTGAATATTCCAGTTTGCGCTGGCACAACGGGAATAATAATGATGAAAATATTGTACGTTTAATATTCTACGAGCACACTTTCAGTCTCGCAGTTGTAACGATATATGCATTTTGGTTCAGCTTTAAACGAGAAGTATCGTCGCTATATAAATTTAAACTCGAATTCCGCGATGCCCCTGTCTGCATGATAATTGGTCGTATTCCGAGTACAGGTGTATATTCGTAAAAATTTGCGTCAACGAGTGGACCAAGCATTACGAGATATTCCACGAATATCGCATAAGCTTTGACAATATTTGGCGAAATAACATGAGATACATAAAAAACATGCTTTATTTATAAATATATTAAATTATATATATATATATTTTTTTTCATCGTATTGTATATATTTTTTAATCACATTGTATATATATATATATATATATATTTTTTTTTTTTCAATGTTTCATGTGATCGAATATAACAACACACATGACTTTATTTTGTAGTATATAACAATGATCAAAATACAATGGATTTTTAATGAAACGTGTCATATATAATATAAATTCCGATCCATACATGCATCATTATTTTTTCCAACATTCTATTCAACTATCATTTGTATTATATAAATAGCTTATATGTATGCATAATTGCAATCTATTAATACGATTACAGGATTCATTGCATTATAAAAATCCGTGAAATCGGATTGCTCGTTCAAGCGTGAATAATTAATCCGTCGATGCTAATAATAAGCGTTCTTTGTATGGTAAGCATGAAATCAAATAAGCAAATTTCTAATGGAAAAGAATGTAAACGAGTAGATTGTAATTAAAATAATTTTACAGACATGAATAAATAAACATGAATAAATACTTAAGCACTGCACCATACCGTGATGACGCGACGGTTGAAAAAAAAATGCAATTGCATTGAAAGAATAAATTCATTAAAGTGTCTAAAAATTCAGTTAGGTACAGATCTGAAAATAATTCTGTTAGAATTAATAAAATGATTTTAGAACGTTCAAGATGATTATTGGAATGTTACCACTTTTTGCAGTATTGCGATCATACTTGAGTTTTATACATATTTATAATAATTTAATGATTCAACAAAAGTATTAATAGTAATTTTTTCAACAAAAGTATTAATAGTAATTATTGGAATTATTTTCAGATCTGTATATTTTCAAATTTTTAGGTTCTTCAGCAAAATCGTTCTTTCCATGCGAAATTTAATTTCAATTGCGAAAATACTTTTGAATATGCCAATGTCATCCGTTGTGATCTCGTGGATTTCGGAAGTGACACGATAGATGTGACCCAACGAGTAATCGTTTCCCGCTAATTTATCTTCGAACGGATCTCATTGATCGACGACCACAATTCAGCGGAACAGTCTGGCTATTCAAAGATGAAAAATTCACGAGCCAATACGAGCACGACGAATTTTCTATTTGGCCATCAGGAGTTTATCAGTTACAATTATCGTTTTATTGACGCCTGGTCAATGATATCTTTATATACTAAAATATCGTTGAGAGGAGGATAAGTTAATCGCGTTAATGTTTATGGCAGCTCGACTGTCATCAATTATATTTCGTGTCACTCATCACCATGTGGATTCGCATTATGAAGGCTATGTTCCAAAATTCACTACTAGCGCTAAACATCTATAGTTTACGTAACGTGTAGATTTCCAGCACTTGCAGTGAATTTTGGGGCACAGTTAAACCTTTCGGATTGGAACAAAAGTTCGTAATGCTATTTCATTTGTATCATGTATATATGTTTTTAAAGAAATTTGGTAATAATATTAATCGATAGAGCAAAATTTCATCTTTAATCTATTTCTTTAATTGCGATAAAATGATTTTTAACGGAATTGCAATTAAATAAAAATATTCCTTTTATAGAGGAAAACTCTCTATTATGAGAGGCGCTTAATATGAGATAACGACGTTTCTGCTAAACTAGCAGAAACTGCTAATAAGAACGGTATCTTGGTTCAACCATAAATTTATTGCTCTTGGATTGAAAACTATTTAGTGGAAAATTCATTATTAGATTATGCCTATAGTCGCTGTAAAAAAAGATGTTATAATTTGAATGTCTTCAAGTTTCATTGACATAAGACTTTAATCCTTGTTTATTATTTATTAAATAAATATTTGGCAATAAATTTTTCATATAATTATAGAGTAATATCGTACTAAAAGAAAAATGCGGGATATGAATTGCTTAATTATAGAAATTAGATTTGATGATTGTAAAACCATAAGACGTGGAAATCGAGATGTCCAGGTATTTCTAATATAAAATTATTGTATCACAGTGTTTGATCTTATCTAAATAAAATTATCTGGATCTAATCATCTAGATGAAATTTTGACGTCATCTTATTTTTATCTAGATAATAAAAATATTAATTATCTTTATTTTTTTAGATGAAAAAAAGTGTCATCTTTATCTAGAATAATGTTTAGATAATTTAGTTTATATTTTTCACGTTACTAAAAATGTGCACAATATTAAAATATTTTCTTCTATATATAATAGTTCATGTTTGCAGAAAAATTTTCAGCTTTAGGAAGAGAATGGGTGCATCCAATAGCATATATAACCATTCACTTGCACTCAAATGATTTTTTTATTCCTGTACTTAAAATCTCTTTCTCTCTTTCGCCAAATATCAAACATATTATTCATTTAAACTACAGTAGCATCTGATATTTGTTTTAATGAATAAGTGTAAAATTCCTATAACTATTATTACACGATGGAATTCGCAATATGACGCAATTAAAAACATTCTTTTGTATAAAGTGAAGCTTAACATCCTTTTTGAAAAATTGAAGATTCAAAAGTTGAGACCAAATGAAATCGAATTTTTAGAAGAATTTATTATAATATAATCATGTCTCTCTTGGCAACAAGCCTCGATCTGTTATAAGGAAAAGTGACTTTTCTAGATTTGGTAGCTTATTATATTAAATACTTATTGTATTAAATACTTATTATATTAAAAGAGAAACAAAATCCACACATTTATCATTTTGTAGTTTATCATTTTGTCACCAAACCATTGGGAGTTGGAATGATATTTAGCTTAGAAAAACGATTTAATTCGTTTAAAAGTAAGCAGTTTATCTTGGTTGCTATTTCCTTGTCAAGATTTAAATTAAAATGGGTGCTAGAACCATATATGGAAAAAATTATTTTTTTTTTGCAAGAACTCATAACATACATTCTCAAAATATAATTACTTTCGAAAATAAATCGTCTTCTAGTAGTGTAGATTTTTTCCGTGATGCAGATAAAAAAAAAAGAATTTTTGACACAATCAGACATGAATAGCAATATAAACATCATTTTCATATTTGGAATTAAAGTCAAAGTAAATTATAAGTCTAAATTCTCTTAATTCTTATTCAAATGTAAAAAAAATGTTTTTTAAGTTTAACACGTTTTTGTTGTCATCAGCATTAGTGTGTCTTTCCAATTCTGGACAACAAATGTATGTACCTCGACAAAATCATTTGTCTGATAATAATGTTCAAAAAACTATTGTTATTACGTAATAAAGATTTATGAGTAAATGTGTGAATGTCAAGCTAGCTCGACTGTGATTGGTTAACCAATCATTGTGACATCTTTGCGATCGTGCAACTAATATAGGGGAAAAAAACTGTATAGAATTTTTATTCTTTATAATGTCTTTTCTTTGTAATTTTTCATTATTTCTTTGAAAATTGTAAGAGACGAAATAAATAACGAGTTATTAAATATTAAAATTATTAAATTTAATATTTTTTAATTATTTTGAGAAGAAACTGATACCTTAATTTATAAACGAATAAATTGTAGTAAGTAAAGTTCTTAAAAGTAAAGAAAATTATCTTGAACTTTTCAGATGAATATATAATATTTATCTATATTATCTAGATTAATTTAAATGTAATCATCTTTATCTTATCTAAGATAAATTTCCAAATTTTCATCTTATCTTTATCTAGTTTTAAAATCATCTATGCATAACACTGATTATACAATAATAAAAAGGACAACCGAAATGAACATTGAGTTTCTGCTGGAACTTGGTTCCAACTACCTGAAGACGAGTCCTGGGTACAATGCATCGCATGCTAATTTTATGTGCACATTTGTTGTGTATTTTAGAAATTTACATAAGTTTTTTTAATTGCAATATACTGATGTACTTTGCATTTTATTATTTCTCTATTAGAGCATCTCATATTAGAAGCACAATTTTTTGATTTTGCGATTTGCCCACTTTTTACATTTCTTTAATTTAAAAAAAGAGTAAAAATTCAGATTAGGAAAGCATTCCCCAATGACCTTGACTTTGACATATGTTGTTGCAAAAAAGTGCTCTTTCAATGTACTTTGACATATTATATTAACTACATTATGAAAGGTGTTAGAAAAGTTTTATATTGCAGTCAAAATTAAGTAGATACCTATGTTGTTAGAACTTTCAATTCTTTGAAAGGGATTTATCATGTGATAATGATTAGTTATAAATAGATTTTTGGGTAAAAAATCAAATTAGGGGAGCATCCCCCAATGACCTTGACTTATATATGACCACGCATATGTTGCCAAGGTCATGACCTTGAGCGACCTCCAACAAGTTTTAGCCATCGTTAAAAAATTGTTAACAGAAAAAGTTCTGTTATATAAGACAAAAATTCTCTGCTTTAAGTTGTTGAAGATTCTGTTTTAAAAAGTTGTTAACAGTGAGACAAAAAAAAGTTCTACTATATAAAACAAATAAAAAAAAGAAAGTCGCTTTGCGTAGAAAGTCGAAAAAAGGATGTAGAATTTACATAAAAAAATATCTGAATTTTTACCCAAAAATCTATTTATAACTAATCACATGATAAGTTCCTTTCAAAGATTGAAAGTTTTAACATAGGTACTATATCTACTTAATTTTGACTGCAATATAAAACTTTTCTAACACCTTTCATATGTTGTAGTTAATATAACATGTCAAAGTACATTGAAGGAACACTTTTTTACAATTTTAATAGCAAATTTGTTACAATTGTGACATGATAGAGCAAATAAATGAAATTGTGTTCAGCACCCAAAAGACTACTGAAAATAATTAAATTCCGTTCTTGTGAATTTTTTTTTGTTAAATAGTGTAATTCGTCATTGTTATGTTACTCTCATTGATACATATAACTAACGCAACCTTTTTATATGTTGTAGCGCTTTCCGACCCACCGATATTTGCCGAGCCGATACCAAATGTCACTGTGGCACTGGGAAGGGATGTCAGTCTACCCTGTGTCATCGAAAATCTCGGAAGTTACAAGGTAACATACTGAATTTGAGTGCCGTAAGTGTATGAACGTACATGATCGCGATCTAAATTGAACGCCTCCTTTCTTAGTTTCGCACAGACAACCGGTTTCTCTTATCCTTGTAAATTTTCTTCTTCATTCCCGGAGCATGTTTTCCAAGCGGTCGGAACTTGCCGTCCTTTACTAAACATAGTTTCCTCAATTATTCGTTAATCGGATTACAAAGAGCGTGTTGCAGCAGTGGTCTCGGTAAAGATGTTTCTTACGAAATTCCGTTTTTTAAATCATATTTCACAGGGTAAAATGCTTAACTTCCTCATAATATTTTGCATGTAATGTTTTTGTCTTAATTTCTACGTAAAGTTGGATGATTTTATGTTATCTTCTCTTATATATGTGCAATATAATTACCGGTATTTACATATACATACATTATTTCGCGTTTTCTTTCATAATGAGGGCTTTATAATACATAACATATAAGAAAACCAGACTATATGTTTTCAAGTAGTTGCTACATTCCTTTTTAAAGTAACATACAAGTTTGACGCATATTTTTCATGAAAAATGTGTAAATAAATACATTATTATTACAATTTAATTACAAATACGACCATACAAACGAGCATACATGATGTTTGATAATTATTGTTCAATACTAAGGTCACATACCAATAATCTGTAGACGTTTCGACAGAGTCTTCATCAATTAGCATTCTACTTAACACAAAATATTGTTGTTTATTGAAAAAAATTCCATGTCAATTATCTTCACTAATTATCTATCACTGTAAATAATTAAATCTGATGGTAATGGTAAATCATGTCCGTCGTAATAGATATCCGAAATTTAAAAAAATCCAAAACAAAAATCTTCGTTTATAGGCGAGAATCACGTTCAGTCCCATAATGTGAGTTTAGTGTCAAGTTAAATTAATGATATGAAACAATTTTAATAAAATTTTCCAAACTATCCTTATTTGATAATAACGCTCTTTATCGAGTCCCAAGAATGGCTGAGATCGAAAATATATACTCATGTAATATTGCAGACCTAGGTGGGATAAACCTAGGTGGTGCCTTTTTTTACTTTAGGAATCTCTATTTGAAATATTACACATCAACAAATCGCGCAAAGAAGAACAGGTTTCCTTGTAAGAAAAAAAGACAGACACGTAATCGCTATCTGGTATACTTTGTGATCTGCGGGCTCGTCCCGCTGGCATTGAAGACCACTGTTAGGCAACCGTATTGGAAACGCATCAGTTGTCCCGTCAGGGAGTTGGATGCGAGACGCCACTATACCGCAGCCTGCAGGCGATCAACGTTACACACGAACAAACATATCGGCAGGCGTAACGAGCGATGTAGTTTTCCAAAGTGAAACGGCGCTCCGAGGGATATATGAAAAATCGAGGAAATCCTTGAACTTCATTAAAAGTTGTCGATCGTATCGTCATTTCCCTTTTTGCGTTTATCGTTTGGAGTCACGCACACGGTTGGAAAATTTGTGTTAAATTTAACACATTTCACGTATCTCCAATTCCTAAAGGATCCATTGAAATTTTTGTGTTGATTTAGCACAAGATGAACATGTTAGAAAATGATACAAATATTGTATAAACAAATTAACACAACAAATGTAACAACAACGCAATTTCTAAGCAAGTTATGGAAGTAGGTATATTTTTCAATAAAATTAAAATTTATGATATGTTAAATTAACACGTATTTTATTTATTTATCTTAGAATTTGTATTTTAAAATACATTATTTTTACTTTCAGTATTTTAAATTCATTATAACATTATTAACAAAAAATTAAAATTTAAAAAGGCTTCTTGATCTTTGTTTGTTGAATTTCAATTTTCTGTGGACATTATTTTTATGTTATTTCTTTACTTACTCATAAATTGTGTTATTTTGACACTAAGAAATCTTGAATATCGATTTAACATAAAATATTCAAATAACGTAATCATATTGTGTGCCTTCCAACAAGCGACACAGTAATCATGTCATCTTTGTTTAACATTGGCAAACAATAAGGATGTAATGATCCATTCATAAATGTCACATCGTATCATTTATGTCGCTTGTTGGAAGGTACACATTAGGTTAACATTCGGATATGTTAAAAATTCAACACAAAATTTTAACAGGGAGCGATTTTAACACAAATACAAAATGTTTTTATTATGCATACCTATAATATATATTTGACGTTAGAAATTCGGTGAGATGAATGAATGAATCGTGATAATTTTATGAGAATTTAATTCGGCTGCTAACGATTTTATTATGCTAATGGAAAGCAGATATGCATATCATACATGGCGGTTTCAATGATCGAAGTCTCACATGTTAATGAATAAAATATTATTTTATTGTTAAATGATGTGCGACTATTCGTGTAGTATCGAATTATAAACATAAAAAAGGAAATGTAATTTTTTCACTATTCTGATAAGGCTCAAACTACGTGGACAAAATATGCCAGTTAATTAAATCAGGAAGCAACGTATACCTGAAATGCGCGTGTATCTCGCTTCGTTTCTCTCGCGGTTTGCAATTACTTGAAAGCTGTATTCATATTCAGATGGACATGTACCGTTAGACAGAAAATTGCATCAAGCACGCGATTACGTCTCGCACGGATAGCCTCGAGCGACAAATGGGACTGATCGTCAACTGATCGCGCGCAAAAGATATCTGTAATATTCCTTGTGAAGTCCATTGATCTCTATACAAGATATACCAGGTAAAATTACTTTTATAGATAAAATTACTTTTATTTACATATCCTTTGATGAATACATCTCACAACTATCTTGTCAGACGATTTTTGATTAGCAAAAATATTGGAATAATAATTGAAGTAGCGATTAATTGCATTACAGATAATTGAAACAATTGAATTATTATACGTAACGATAACATTATTTTGTAAAGCAAATGAACAAGGTTGGGTAGTGCTAAGTTAAAAAGATAAAAGTTAAAAAGTTAACTTAACTTAGTTACATTATAAACTCTTAACTTTTTAAATTAATTTAATTACATTTTATCGGTAACTTTTAACTTTTAACTTTTAAGTTGATTATTTTAAGTCAATTCTCAGATACAAAATGCGAGTGGCTAATGAATATATTTAGTAATTTCATATTATATAATTGTTACTTGTGAACAAAAATAATCAGATTCTTTAATAAATATGCTGTGAGAAAGGAAAAATACGAAAAATTATGTAAAATGATCACATTTTTTTTTTTGGTTGCTCATTCGAACCAAATTTAATTTTTAACTTTTCAATTACTTTTTTTATTAACTTAACTTTTAATTCAATTAATTTCATTATGGATTAACTTGTATTTTAATTAAGTTAAATTTTCAAGGCTATTAACTTTAATTTACTTTAACTTACAAGGAATGTTTTACAATTATTCGGATTTGAAGCTCCATGAAATATATTGTAAAACATGAAAATCTAAGAAACACGTATTTTTTTATACGTGCGCTAACTGATATTTAATGGGTGAAACATCCCTTGGAAAAAAAACGGCATTTTTTTTTTAGACGAATATCGTCGGAAGTATAAAACATAGAAAAAAAATTTTTAAACAAAAATTGTATGGTTTCAAGAGTACTTTAAAGTTATAAAGAAAAATTGTTTTTTATTTTTTCGTTTAACAAAATATCCCTACCACCCATAATATTTTTAAATTAAAAATTTTTTTTTTTTACCAAATTAAAGATTATCTTTAATGAATTCAACCATGTGTAATAAAGTTACATTATAACATCATTTTCGAGAATTAATTATTAACGCTTCCGCACATACGCTATTCATGCTTATATGCGTAAGTAATTGTCGTCGGAACAATAAAATATTTAAATCAATGAATAAGGAAATTGACATGACTGATATTTGTAACATTACAAATTATAAAGAATGTTAAGAGTTATAATAATTTTTATTATTTCTCTTTAAAGTGAGTAAAACTTTTCTATTCATCTCTATACATTGCTTCCTTATAATAACTTAAGATTATTCTCTTAAAGTTATTTTTCGTTTTACTATCTTATTGCTTTAATATCTTATTTACTTACGTTTACGTAATTTCTAAACGTACTTAATAATGAAATAATTTCTAAATGTTTATACACAATAAATTTATATTTTGTATCGTTTACTCATTATATATATTACGATAATGATACTCGATGGAAAATGTTTTAAACATAATGACTTCAGAATACAAGAAATACTTATTTACATCAATAAATTATTGTAAAAACATCGAAATCTGGTAAAATGACTTCAGGTAGTTAAATAAATTTCCTTTTACAATACATTTTCAGGTACTGTTTTACTAATAAAAAGTAAATTTGCATAAACGAAATAATATAATGAAATTATAAGTCTCATTTCTATGATATATTTTATATTTTATTTAACAATCTCATAACAGTCATAAAATACACATAAAATAGTTATTAATTTAACATTTATATTTCTTACAAATCATTTTAAAATGTGATTAGAAGAAACTTATTTTCCAAACGTTGGTTCTAATAGCGTTCTTCTTATCGATTCATTGTCCAATATTATTTCAGATTTAACGCCTGCAGGAAAATGTATTACTATTATGATTATATCGAAAGAGAGTTAGATATTTACGGATTTAGAATTTGGAAAAATTTTACTAAAAGATTTTCAAACGTTGTTTTATTATTGGAAAATAATATAAATTTACGTAAACGACATAATATAATAAAATTACAATCTCTGATACATAATCAATTGTCTCCGCGATATCACAACTTATTTAAATATTGGTGTGGTTTAAAAGTGGTTATATAAACGGAAGACCAGAAGAATTTGAAAATCCAGTAGAATTTAGTTTTAACAAAAATTCAACAACATGTGATATCGAAGGTTGCAGTGATATAGCTGTAGTAAAATGTTTATTGGGCAAAAAGTTACACTTAAACATTTTTTAACATTTAAAATA